TCCGGAAGTTATATCGTTTCGTTTTGAAAATTTATAACTTTGCGCTACCTTTAATTTCCTTCATTGTAATTTTATTAGAAAGAATAATGCCTTACTTCTACTAAACATTGACTGCAGAGACAAAATTAGAAAAAGAAAACTATATGAGCTTGGGTCATTTTACCTTAGGTCGTCATAAATCGGAAACACAACAGAAAAATCTGAAATCGTCCATACACAAGTTTTTTGACCTGCTCTTCATGGCAGTGAAAAGTTTGTCCTATTTGGATATCTCGTTGAGAAGTACGAATTTCGAGTTTACTATGGAAAACCCCCGCCAATATTGATTAATTTGTCATTTTTCTCGAACAATCATAACTTTTTACAGACTCATCTAAACACCACGAACTTTTCACCGTTGCAAAGACTAGATGGGAAACATATGTAGCGACGATTTCGGAATTTTCTGCAGGGTTCTAGATTATTGGCGGCCTAAGTTAAAATGATCAAAGCTTATCTGTATTCTTTTCTATTTTTATCTATGCAGTTGGTGTTTAGTAGAAGCAAAAAAGTATTCGAAATCGAATGAAATGAAGGAAATCTGTGAGATAGAGCAGAGTTCTTAGAAATAAACGACAGAACTTCGGGACAGCATGACACTTATCCATCTCACTTTCATTGATCTGATAAACACAGTAAATAGACCACTTTTTGAAAGAAATTTTTCCAATATGTTTTATGCTGACGTAATTTGCTCTAGACCGACGAGGCAACACCGGATGGTCAGATGAAGGATATGTCACTAGAAGCGGCAGAAAGCTTCGACTTCGGTGATGCCAATGAAGACTTTGATGAAATCTATGATAACGCGGAAGAACACGATGTAGGAAATGTACAACAGGAACACGGATCTGTACTTGTCCATCTTCTCAGCCAGGTAACCCCGCATTTCGTGAGCAACTTTTTTCAATTTTTGACAACCTTCTCCGCTTTAGGTCAGTATCGGCATGGACTTGACAAAAGTTACTTTACCTACATTCATCCTTGAACGTCGGTCTTTGCTAGAAATGTATGCTGATTTTTTTGCGCACCCTGATGCCTTCGTAGTCACCGTCGATCTCGAAACACCGCA